CTGCTGCTGCTGCTGCTGCTGCTGCTGCTGCTGCTGCTGCTGCTGCTGCTGCTGCTGCTGGGTGTGTCAGGGCTGGATTTCTCGCGGGACTCGATCCTGGAGGCGCGGCAGCGAGTGCGGCAGCGGCAGCGGGAGCTGCTGCTGCAGCAAATGCTGCAGCAACCCGAATACCATGTGGGAGATGTCTTGGGGCCCCGAGTGTGGGGTTTTGCTGCTAAGGAGGAGTTCGACGTGGTGTCTGTACAGCTGGCGATTCACTACATGGTGGCTTCGCAGCAGCAGCTGCAGCAGCTGCTGCAGCGCAGCGCAGCACGACTGGCCCCCGGCGGCAAGTTCATTGGCAGCACAGTTTGCTGCCGCGAGCTGGGCCGCCACGTGCTGCAGCTGCGGCAGCTGCTGCCGGAGCACCTGCAGCAGCTGCAGCAGCAGCAGCTGCAGCAGCAGGAAACCGACGCCGCCGACGAGCTCGCCAGGGTCTACGAGCAGCAGCTAGCAGCAGCAGCAGCAGCAGACAAAAGAGTTTTCTTTTCTGGAAATTCCGTCTTTTGCATCTTTTTCGATGAAGACACTCTCGCCCGCATTCTAGACCCCTACCAGCTCCCGGAGCCGCACGGTGTGCTGCTGCTGCTGCTGCTGCTGCTGCTGCTGCTGCTGCTTGCTGCTGCTGCTGTTCCTGCTGTTGCAGTTGCTCCTGCAGGTTTCGCAGCTGGGGCTGCTGCTGCGTTGCTGCTGCGTGCGGCTCGTGCTGCTGCTGCTTCTGCTGCTGCTGCTTGCTGCTGCTGCTGTTCCTGCTGTTGCAGTTGCTGCTGCAGGTTTCGCCGCTAGAGCCGCTACCACTGCGTTGCTGCTGCTTGCGGCTCGTGCTGCTGCTGCTGCTGCTTCTGCTTTTGCTGCTGGCGGCGCTGCCCCTGCCTCACGCTGCTGCTGCTGCTGCTGCTGCTGCTGCTGCTGCTGCAGAGACGGAAGGCGGGCTGCCGCTGCTGGAGCTGCTGGCAGCAAAAGGGCTGCAGCGGCAGGCAGTGACGCTGCAGGTGCTGCAGCAGCTGTCCAGCAGCTACGGGCTTAAGTATCACTTTTGGCTGCGCAGCAGCATAGATGCAGAAGAGTATGTTTTCCCTTTTGCTGCTGCTCGTGCTGCAGCGCAGCAGCAGGGCCTCAGCTGCTGCCTCTCCGTGTCTTTCCCGCGGCTGCTCGCAGCAGCAACTTCGCACCCCACAACTGCAGCAGACACGCTCAGGTGGCTGCAGCAGCAAAAGCACAAAAGAAGCAGGCAGCTGACTCCGCAGCAGCAAGCTGCCTTTGCCCTCTACAAGGCCTTCGCCTTCGTCAAGGAAGCACCCAGCAGCAGCAGCAGCAGCAGCAGCAGCAGCAGCAGCAACAGCAGCAGCGGCGCTGCGCAGCAAACGGGCGCGAGCGCGGGAAACAGCAGCAACAGCAGCAGCTTGTGAGCCGCGTGGAAGAACGGAAATCGAGCGGCAGCAGCAGCAACGGCCGCTGCTGCTGCTGCTGCTGCAGCCCCTGCTGCTGCTGCTGCTGCTGCTGCTGCTGCTGCACCGGCGGCGGCTCCTGCTGCTGTTTGCGCTGCTGTGCTGCGCTAGGCGCAGCGCTGCAGCTCTTGGAGCACTAAAGCAGCAGCAGCAGCTGCTGCTGCTGCGGTTGTTGCGGATGCTACTACGGCAGCTGCTGCTGCTGCGGTAGTTGCTGCTGTTACTGCAGCTGCTGCGTCACACTGAAGGTGCTGGCAGAGCGCAGCAATAGCAGCAGCAACAGCAGCAGCAGCAGCAGCTGCTGCTGCTGCTGCTAGGCCCTGCTCGCAGGCCTTTATGTTTTTTTGTGGCTCGGTAGATATGGGATTTGAGAGAGACAAGGAGCCCCGTAGAGACACAGACAGCAGCAGCAACCACAGCAGCAGCAGCAGCAGCAGCAGCAGCAGCAGAATAGCAGCAGCAGCAGCTGTGTTTTCCAGCATGCGCTGCTGCTACTTCACAGCGAGGTGCAGCGGGATGCAACCGGGCCACATATGACAAGCAGCAGCTAGCTGCTAGGCCTTGGCTAGCTAGCAGCAACTAGCTGCTAGGTTTTGGCTAGCTAGCTGCAGCTAGCTGCTAGGCCGTGGCTAGCTAGCTGCAGCTAGCTAGCCAAGGCCGGCTGCAGAAGGAACTGTGAGGCTAGTTGTGGCTAGCTGCAGCTAGCCCTTTCGAGCTGCAGCTAGCTGCAGCTGGTCCTGGCTAGCTGCAGCTAGCTGTGGCTAGCAAGGGCCAGCTTCAGCTAGCTGCAGCAAGCTGTGGCTAGCTGTAGCTAAACTGCAGCAAACTGCTTCCAGCAGCAGCAGCTAGTTAGTTCTAGCTGCAGCTGGCTGTGGCCTGCTGTGGCTTGCCGTGGCTAGCTGTGCCTAGCCACGGTTTCGCTGCAGCTAGCCACAGTTTTGCTGCAGCTAGCTGCTGACTAGCTGCAGCTAGCTGCTGCAGCTAGCTGTAGCTAGCTGTGGCTGCTGCGCCTC